GGGGGGAGAAAACGGAAAGAACAAAGGCAAATATAGGAGAAAGCTGTAGTTTTCCTTTCCCCAAAGGTGATCGTGCCCCAAGAAAACCCGGAGGCAGAGTAGGAAACTGTTCCCTGGAAGTGTGGTTGGGAGAAGTGTTCTCCAATAGGGTAAGCGAAGGGAGGGGGGTGGGGTAGGAAGCGACAGCACAGCGCTATGGCTGTTTGTAATTCAGCATGGAGACACCTCTCCAGCGATTCTTCTCCTTAAACAAAACACGCCAAAAGTGAACTACCAGTTGCATGCGAGATCATCTTAAACCTTACACCGACAGCTCTTTGCCCTTCCCTCCCTGTCCTTTCAGTACATCATAAAATCAAACTAGAAGCTGAAATGCTTTTTAAAAATTATCTGCCTTAGGAAATTTGTATTACACCAGTTAATCTCCCCTTCGGTCTTCCCATTTCACTTACCTTTCTTTTGGGCATTGTTGCAGCTCTCTATAGAAGATCTTAATAGCAGAAAAGAAGCCTAGACTAGAGCACTCTCTGTCCGACCGCTGGGACAGCAACTGAGTTTTCAATGAACTAATTGCCGCACGACCTGTACTCGCCTCAAAAAAAAAAAAAAAAAAAAAAAAGAAAGAAAAAAAAAGCTCTCGTTATTGGCAACCTTAAACACACCAAGACGCAACCAAACTACGTGAATGGTTAGAAGAAATGTGAGCCAGGTTGGAGTGACAGGCTGTCAAGCCAATAAGAGGAGGTGGCCAGTGGGAGGCGTGGCCCGTGGACTTTCCCGAAGCCCTTCTATGCTGCTGGCTGACTGCGAGTGGGGTGGAGGAGCACGCGGACTTCGTAGGAGCGTAGCGCTCGGACATGATCTGAAGGAAACCCAGAGTTGTCTTCATTTCTTTTCTTTTATGCTGTAATGACAAGCAAATGCCCCAAACTGTTGCTTTCTCTAGTTTCCAAAACCCCCGCCATTCCCATTTCGCAGGAGAAAAAGTGCTCTTGAGACCTGGTTGAGTTTGAGGCGCAGTTTTCCTTACACATTGGCAAGAAGGTGGAGATGAAATGACAGGAGCATTCATTCAGAGAGCGAAAAAGCGTGGGAATCTTTATTTAACTGCGGGAACTCCCCACCAAAGAAGCATAAGGGTCCTGGCATGAGGTGGGTGGGTGCCCAAATGGCATGCCTCCCACAGGCGGAGAGTATAGACAAAACTGGGAACTGGAAGAGAGAAAGGCTTCTGGGGGCGGGGATACCCGTTAAAATACCGTTATCCCATTTGGAGGGAATCCACTAAGAATTCAATGTAACCCTGAAGGAAATTTTCCTCTGCATAATATAGCAGAGGAAAAACACTGTTGGAATGGATTTTTAATCCTAAAGTAGATTTAGTGAAGGGACTCAGGAAGGTGCCTTGCACATTTAGGACTCACAGTTTGGATTACCATAAAGCCATGGAGGCACTAACCATGGCCACAAAATTTAAGGTTGTGCCCAAAACTCAGGAGATTAGGTCGAGGTGAGTTATGCAGGTGCAGGATAAGATTCTATCTTTATTTAAATTTTTGATATTTTGTTCATCATAGATTTTTTTGCATTAAATCTGATCTTTTAAATATTGCATTAAAATATTTGTCAGGACTATGGTTGTAGCCCAGTGGTAGAATGCTTGCCTAGCATGTGTGAGGCAGTGGGTTCAGTCCTCAGCACCACATAAAGATAAATAAATAAATAAATAAATAAATAAATAGGTATTGTGTCATCTACAACTAAAAAAAATTTAAAGAAAAAGAAAATTACCAACATGTTATTTTTAAAAACATCATTTGTTTTCAATATTGAATTTTGGGGTAACCCCTTAAAGTTTTGGCCCAAGGAGAGTTCTCCCTAGCTTTACTCAAGTCCCAATCTAGTTTAGGGAACATTTTTTTGTAAGAGACACTTGTAGCTTCCTTCCAGTATCAGTTCCTGAGACCTAAAGGTTTTGGGTCTCTGTGTGGAGATTACATAAAGTACTTGGTAACAGTAATGGTTAAAAGGGGTGGGGGACTCAGATCCTTGCAGCCCCTTTTCAGTTGTGCCTTGCTTTGGTTGTTGTTAAGAGATAATTATGTTAGAAAGTGCCCCAACAATACTCCACATTCCTAATCTGGAAGTTTAATAGAGAGGAAAAGTTAAATCTTTTAAACAGTTACTTTAAGGAAGAATTACATTTGTGTTCATGTGGATTAAAAAATTGTAATTATCATTTAAAAGATGAATACCATATCTGCTACACAATGCCCAAAACCCATCCCTTCAAAATAAAATGAAGCCTCAAGAGAAGACCACATCATTTTGGGGTTTGCCCCTTCTTTTCCAACAGCTACAGTGTAGCATTAAACAAATAAGTTAAAATAAGACTGATCTCAGCTCAGTTTCCTTCCCACAACACATATTGTATTCTTGTTTAAGTAAATAAATCAGAAAGACATTTAATTGCTTCCTTTGCTCCACAGTTATTGGGACAATTCCTTCATGGTCTGATACTTCTTGTTAAATTCTTATTTTTTAATTTGCTTTTAAAAATTTTTGTGGTGCTGGGAATCAAAGTCAGCATCTTGAGCATGCTAAGTACTTTACCACTGAGCCACATTCCCAACCCTCTGATGCCTCTTTTTACCCTTATGGTGAAAGTATTTTGGGGTGAACACAGATATGTTTCAATCATTTTACTGTCCCAGAGTTAGAAGGTAAGAATAAAAAATAGACTCAATATAATGATTGCTCCATAAGAATAAGGAGAAAAATGAAGGGAATAAAAATGTGTCAGTGGAATGCATTCATTCAACAAAATTTTATTTAGCATTATTTTGTGAGTTGGGTTTTGTTTTTGTAGACTAGCTTATGAAAATGCAAAATCATGTGGTATGCAAAAATTGTATTATGCAGTTTCTGCCCTTGAGGAATTTTATAATTCTGTAGGATTCAGTAAACAAATGCATACATATTTACAACTTTAGGTTATTTGTGTCATTTGAGTAGTGCAATCTGAACTCAATAATAGAACAGGAGGGAAGGATCTTCTAGAACTGAGATAATTAGAGAAGGCTTTTGTTGAGGAGGTGGTATTTCACTTGGCTCTGAACTATTGGGTAGACTGTTATAATACAGCAAATACAGAGGCAGGGAAAGTTTGTACTTGCTCAAAGAACAGAATGCCTAGTCCCAGTAGATTGAAACAAATGATCATGATGAGCTTTGGGAGGTAAATCTTGGAAGTTGGACGGAAGGCAAAACATGCAGAACAGTGAGCTCTAAAATTCCTCTTAAGTTTGTCAAAACTTTTCTTTTTTGTCAGTTTTCCTCCTTTCAGTCTAATCTGTTGCAATTGTGATTTATGTCTTCTCAAACTGCAAACATAGTCATGTATGCATAAGAAAAAGTTGAAGTGTGAAGCATTTGTCTGTTTCTTGACTCCCATTCCCCATTCACCCTGTTCTTTTTAAGCAGTTTTTAGGGTAGTCCTTTGTACCAGCCAATTTGATTTAAGCTCTTTGCCTTTGCTTTATTGTCACTGCAATTCTATTTTCTTATATCTTCACTTATCAGATGTCTATCCCAGTGTTCATACCCAATCCAAATATCACCTCTTTGACAAAAGCCTTCATTTCAGCACTATACGATCTTTTCCTCCTGTTACAGTGTAGAATTTAGATTGTACCACTTATATGACAAAGGCAAGCTTGATTTTTTAAAAAAATATTTTTCCTGAAACATTTAGTCCTACTTCTTCACATCAATTCAAACTTCTCTATACTACTTTTTCTTGCCTAAATATTTTTAAACATATGACACTACATATCTCCTGTAGAATTTACTATCTATAGAAATTATTTTTTTCTAAAATTGATAAATTATTTCAAAGTAAGAGTTTCATTTTTGTATAATTGCCAAATAGATACCTTTCACTAAATCATTTTTTTAAAAATTACATTGGTTTGTTTCTCTTTTACTTATTAATAACTATGAATGTTGATTGCCTGACAGTTTTCCACAGGACTTGCTATTTTCCCCTGGCTGTTAAGCTTATATACTGCAACTCTCAAAATCTACAGGATCTGTAGCATATCCATTCAGTAACTGGTAGGACATGACACATGAAGCTGTAAAAAAAATTATAGATTAAATGTATCCACATTAAAATGTTTCATATAAAGGACACAAATTATTAAGATTATGTGCTTATGAGAAAAAAGATACTAGACAGTATATAATGAGCCAAATACATCAATGTGCTTATTTCTGAACCTCACATATGATTGATATGAGGAAGTTACTTAGATTGCACTTAGCTGAAACTGACTCTTGAAAAACTTTAATCTGGAGAACCCAAAGTTTCAAATATCTTATGTTTATTCACAGCAGGCCTGAGAGTAATAAAATATTGAATTATGAGTGACCCCTGATATGATGGGTCTGTAAGGTATGTTTAAAAAATGAGACTGCTTTCTAGAGGTAAAAGGTACACAATAAATTTTATGTTTCAAATTGCAAAATTTCTACCTACTTTTAAAGTAGTAATTTAAAAGAATGCTGTGTTTAGATTCTCAAACATTAAAATTTAGAGGAGATACTGGATAATGCCTAGTTCAATAACCTCAGAATACAGATGAATAAACTCAACACCACAGAGTTTAAATAATTTGTTCAGGATCATGTATTAAAAGTGGAGCAGTTTTTTTCATTTTTATATTAAAAATTTTAGCTATGGTGAAGATATTAAAAATTAAATAACTTAAAGAAAAATTTAATAACTGTATGGCATATTTGGTAAACAATTTTTTTTTTCAATTTTAGTGATTGAAACTCCAGAGCAAACTTTGACCATCAACCCACTTCATATATATCTTCCTTTCATCTAAGATCCTAAACTAGAATCCTCTGGTCATTTTAACTATCTCAAGAAATAGAAAATTTATAGAAGACAAGCTTCACTTTCAAAATTTTCATTTGGTCTAAGGCAAGTGAATGAGGGTTTTTAAGCTTGACATTGTCAAATACTTGCCTATCTTTTTCTGTGTTTGCCAACAGAGAGGTATTCAAATAAAAGTGCAGTTGAGCTTTCTCATTGGCCATAAGTTATTTAAAGATCTCTGAATTTCAGTAGGTATCCTCATTTACTTGAAAAACATTTCAAACTCTTTCACATTAGCTATGAAGACTTCTGCTTCCCTTAAGTTTTTTCATTTATTTTAAATGCATAATTATTCTTTCAAACTAAAAAAATAGTCATATATTTAAGGCATACATGATATTTGTATATGTACACACACAGTGAGATGATTACTATAGTCAAGCAAATTAGCAATAAAATAGTTACCTTTTTGTTGGATGCACATCTATTTTCTTAGCAAATATCCAGTACATTTACTAAATTCTTCCTATTAAATTTAATTTGTAATTTTGGTACAGTTCATGCCTATGTTTCTGCATGAAATACTAAACTTTTTAAATCTATATATTTTTATGTTTTACTTTAAGCCTTATCTCACAAAAGCACAGATATTAATTCCTGGCTTATAAAATAGTAAGATG